TCATTTCTCCAAGGTTGATGTAGGTGGCCGCAAAGTGTGTGCCTTCGCAAACATAGGCTCTACACGGTACTTCATTGGTTGGGCTTGTGTGGATAGGTTGGGCTTAGGGGACCAAGTGCAGCAGCTCAGCAGATCTATAGCATCAACTGTAGCCAACAAGCACCGCATGGTTGTACAAGACTATGTCAAGGACGTAGTCTGCACCTTCTCCTATGGAGGAGGGGAACTGAGACATAAAATCTCATTCCTTGTCAGCGACGAACTGCCATTTGACATGCTGCTAGGTATGTACTACCTCCAGGTTGCTTAACCTCAATTCGACTGGGATAGAAAGGTGATGATCCACAAATTGCCCAATGGTAAAGGTGCATGTGTGCATCATCCTTCTATAACTACTATAAACAGAATCGCAAGGAAGGCATGCACTTGGGTCTTTGTCTCTGAGAAAGGGAAGGCCGTAAAATCACCCCTAGAGATAGAAGCAGTCGTCGCACAGTATTCAGACCTTTTTGAGAAGCCCACAGGTATGGTGGAAAGGGAGGTTGTCCACACGATAGAAATCGTCCCTTGTAGCAAAAGCACCTAGAGGATGGATCTATAGGATGTCTCCTGCGGAGTTGGATGAGCTCCACCGCCAGGTCAAAAAGCGCACAGAGAAGGGCTGGATTCGGCCTAGTACCTCCCTTTACGGTGCTCCAGTTCTATTTGTTCCTAAGAAGCGAGGTACCTTGAGGATGTGCATTGACTATAGGGGAGTGCCATCACCATAAAAAACGCAGAGCCCCTACCCCGCATCGACGACCTATTGGATAGAGTGCAGGGATGCCGGTGCTTTACTAAGATAGATCTAAAGTCCGGATACCATCAAATTGCCATTAGACCTGAGGACCAGCACAAAACCGCTTTGTAGACCAGGTACGGTCTGTATGAGTTTGTGGTGGTGCCCTTTGGCCTATGCAATGCCCTTGGGAAATTCCAGCATGCAATGAATAAGATCTTTCACGAGTACTTAGACAAGTTTATCGTCGTGTACCTCGACGATATTCTTATCTTTAGTAAGACTGTAGAGGAGCACGCTAAGCACTAGGTCTCCTAAGACAGTACCAGTACAAGGTTAACTCAGAGAAATCTGAGCTTGTTCGCACCAAGATCTTGTACCTGGGTCATGAAATTTCAGCAGATGGGTTGAGGTCGGACGATGCCGAAGTGGCCAGCATACGAGACTGGCCCAGACCTCAGACTGTTAATAAGGTCAGATCATTTTTGGGGATGACGGGCTATTACCGTCCGTTTGTCAAGAACTATAGTACTATGAGAGCTTGCTCTCGCCACCACCAACACAAGAGTCCAGGACCTTCTCCCTACTTGGCGCTCGACGCCCAACCTACTTCCTTCACAACTACTATCTGCCTACTAATTGACAATGCAACTGTTGACGTCAGCAGCCCACGAAGTACTTGAAGATGTCGCCCAATGCAGACCATCGCCAAGACCAGGTATGTGCCCTCACATCATCATCATCATCATCCTTCTCTCTCTCCCTCGACTCACACCCACGTCTTCCCTCTGTACACCCGAAGACCACCTCTGCGCCTCACCGTAGTCCAAACCTCAACCAACTATGGAGCCTGGGGTATGGCGCTGCCCTCAGCAGCGCCCTGCTTCCTGCATGACCGCACGCTCGCAACACCTTGCCCTTAGCGCATAGCAGCCCGCGAGCCTATGCTCCGGTAGCGCTGCCGCACAAACTGCCAAGTGCCTGAATGAGAGCCCAGACAATGAGCTCTTTCTTATATGGAAAGAGTATGCCTGCCCCGGCGACCAGGCTGGCCTAGGCCTCTGCCCAAAAGCTTTCGGTAAGCCCCACGAGGTTGTGCCTCTATTGCAACTGCTGGGCCTCGTTCGGTTGGGCCGCCCAACTGTCTGTGTATGAGGCTGCGATTCTTGCCCAGGGCCTGCATTTCAGGAAAGGCCTCGAAGGCCGTGGAATGTCTTTGCTGCTCGGCCTGTGTTGCCCTCAACCAACTGGTGCATCACAACTGCCTGGACCCCAAATACGAAATTGACAGCAGGGGGCCTCTCGAGATTTGTTAGGCCCGCCTTCACTTAGGGCAGGCACTTCTGTAACAGGGCCCCTTAGGCCTGCCGAGGACCCAGATCCTCGCAAATACTTTAGAATTAATCATTTTTTTGATTTTTTTCTCAACATTTTTTTTTTTTAATTCGAAACTACTTTTTCATTAATTGTTTTTCGGAAATTTTGTCAATGCAAGGAAGATGAGCAATAGCGAACTTCAGCAATCAAACAACATCATATACACAACACCAGATAGTCGTGACCTCGAACCAACAACTGAATTACATCACGAGTTTCACCAAATAAGAAGACACCAAGAGCTCATAATTGACAATGCTGGTAAAGTCTCATCATCATCATCAATGAAGAACCAATGTTGATATCCTATCTGGCGCTCGGCGCCCACACTACAGATGGCAGATCCTCTCTAGCCTAGACTACAATGCCGAATGATGACGACAACAACTTTCCCGAAGTACGAGCATACAACGACCAATGTCGCACGCTTCCAGCACCAGGTATGTCTCTCGCCTCACTCACAACCTCGTTCCCCAACACGCAGATGCCACTTGCACCCAAGGACCACCCTGCGCCACACCCAGCTTACAGCAGCGCAGCTCGGCTATGGTTGCCTGCTCCTTCCTGCTCGTCCGTGAGTGTGTGAGTGCCAGCGAGCTTCAGCGCAGCAGCGCTTGCGCAACATGCAACCAGCACCCGAATACCCAATGTGGAGGCAGGCCCTTTGCTATATCGAAGTGGCCTGCCTGCGTTCAGTCCTAGGAAGCTTCCAGTAGG